TCTTGTGTTATTCACTCAGCTAGGATGATCTCACTGAACATGTTACGTCAGCTTCCTGCTTTGGAAGAATATCCATAGTATGTTCTAACAGCTTCTCTGAATCAGACATCTATTAGCATTGCTAGGGTGGTTATTTGGTTTTGGTAAGCCAGTGACAGATAGAGAAGTACGATTTATAATTAAATCAAGTGTATGATTTAGAATTCAACTTTAATTATGAGAGGAAAATGCCAAGCATGACTCCTGTTTCTTAAACTACCTTTTTTCTTCTGTTTTTTTCCTTCCTCCCTCCCTCCCTTCCTTTCTTCCTCCCTCTCTCCCCCTCCTTCTTCTCCTGTCCCTCCTTGCCTCCCTTCCTTTCTTTCCTTCTTTCTTTCTTTTTTTTCCTGTGTGGTGCCCAGAAATGTTTCTTTCACATTTTAATATTAAACATTTATAAAGTTTTAGCAAGTACAATTTTTGTTATACTAATACCACCTACCTGTTTCATTAGAGATGCTGAAAAGATTAATGAAATTAAGTCTATAGAATGCATTGAGCTGCCTGAGGGGGAAAAAGGCAATATAAATGCAGTTATTCCTACCTCAGTAAATATTTGTATATTAAAGCCACCAATTCACTGTGATCCTGAAGTTTAATGTACCACTACTGTTTATTGCAGCCCCAGTTTCTATATAAAAACCTCAGCCTGAATATTTTCAAGTTCTATACTTATTTCTGGCCTCTTTTGCATAAAAAACTGAGATCTTATAATAATAGCAATCATATACAATATTGAAACATCAGTATTTTCTAGTCACTGAGTAATGTTGTAGTCCATCATATTTAATCCTCACAATAACCCTAAGATTTGGAGAGTATTTTTGCCATTTTACAGATAAGGAAATTAAGCTTATTTCAAATCACTTTGGGCTGTCTAAGGAAGGTTTCACAATAAGCAAGAGTTGAAATAGGGAAATGCAAAATAGTTTTACTGAATTCTGATATGAGAAATAAATGAATAATGACTCAATATACTAACACTCTTTCAGGAAAAAAAAAAGTGGAGTTCTATCTTCTTGGTCTTTAGAAACAGCCTAGCTTAGAGAAGGAGGTATTTTCATCATTCCTAAAAATCTGTTAGAGTGAATGAATTTTTGCTGGGACCAGTTTAAGAGATCATTTTATGAGATAATCGTACTCTAATACATGATTAAAATCAAATCAAAAGAGATCTGTACTTGGAATTTAAGAGAAAACAGTGCATACAGAATCATATTAACTCTTTTTAACACAATGACCTTATATACTCCATATCAGGTGGCTATAACTAGAGGCAGCTAGTAAGTACTATATCAACCTAGAATAATACACGTGGATTAAAATGTAGCTATCCAAACAAATTTCCACAAAAAAAAATTTTTAAAAAAAACAAAGAAAAAAAAAAGTCTGCTGGGATCAGAGACAGAATAGTAAGGAAAAGGAGAAAAAGCAATAAACAGAAAGAAGCAAACTTGTTGCACCCCAGCTATGTCTGTGGGCTAAGCTCTTATTTAAAGCATCTTAGTACAATTGAGCCTCAAAGGAAACTTCAGGTTAAGGTATTATTATTATCCAAAATGTGGCCCTTAGGAAATCAAAGTTTAAAAGGGTGTACAGATTCCCAGATTCCTATTGTGACTAATTAGAGGGCCAGAATTGAAATTCAAATCTGCATTACTCAACAGGATTTTTCTACCACATGACCTTGCATCTAGGATAGTCAGTCTCTCCTCCCACAGAATGAAAGGTGATTAGAAACATGCAGAACTCACACACACATGACCCGCCGACATACATCATCTAGATGTTTAACCGTCTGAGTTGCCGGATGAGTAAAAACAAGATGTTCTTAACAGTGCACAATGTGGGGTGGCCCATCCTTCTCCCCTCCTCCTTTTTTCCTTTTTAATATTTGCTCTTTCTATTATTATTTGTCTTCAGTCCTGAAAGAGTTAATGTATCATCCTAAAGGTGATTAGAATACTCCTTTCTTAGTTTCTTTCTTAGTCTCCACTTAATTTAAACTATATCATATTGTATATTTAACTTTCCATTTTTCCGTGCCATCCAGCGACTTGCCTTACAGAAAGAAAATGCTGCCAGCAAGTGTTTTGAACATGCCCCATTGATTTTTCTCATGAAAATAAGAGGTCAGTTGTAGTGACTTAGCAAGGAAACTAATAGTCCTGCGTTAAAGACGAAGAGAAGCACAGAAGTATGTGGGCGTAAATGGTAGGCTTATCTCTCCCTGCAATGTCACCAAAAAAAAATGATACTTGTGACTTCTGACAGCAGCAGTTGTTCTTAGTTTCTGTTAAGTGACTTTATTTTTTGGGTTCAATAACATATTGGAATCAGTGATGAAGTTACATGCCACTATATGATAGAGTGTAACCCAATTAATAAGCAAGAGAAGACACTTACAAAAAACAGATCACAGTAGGGGCACCAGACAGCTTTCACTTCCTAAAACAGGACCCAAGAGAGGGAATTTTCAGATCAATTGTATGTATTCAGATACTAGAAGGGCTGGTGATGTATCAAAGAGGGAAATTGCAAAGATTGTTTCTCAAGAACACTGTGAGAAGAACATAAAAATAGATCTAATAATGAAATATGTGATTGTGTAGAAGCTTCATAGTGGTGAACTCATGTTATAAATACCTGAGAAGAGAAAGCAAATTGCCCTGTGATCTTAGCTGCATATAGTTGCAGCAAAGAAGAATTGTATATGAAGATCAACACATAGATAATTACTCAGCATATGTTCAAAGGGGGGACTCAGCCTTGGTCAACGGGGGGCTATCACTGTCTGGAGTAAGTTGAAATAAATGCAAACAGATGGGTGATGCTTAGTGCAAGTGTTAGAGAACCTAGAAAGTACTGGTTAAAGATCCATGAGATAAGAAAGAATCTGAGGCCATTAGTGGTTATGAAATTGGTAGATTTCCTCCACAGTGTGAACTGGTCATCGTGTTTCCATGGCTGGGGAAGGAAAGCTTTTTGCAGCCAAGAAAATAAAGCAAAGGGCCTGTATACAGTGTCGAGTTAAAGGAAAGTGGAGCTGGTCTTTGGAGACAGGTCCTTCCCCTTAGCCTTTAACAGCTCATTGTACATAAGAGATCTTCCACTTTGGTTTTGCTTGTTTTTCATAAAATCTAAGTGAGAAACCTGGATTTCTCACTAGGGCTTTGTAGCAAAGGGATCCTAGCTTACAGCTGAGACTGTGTAAATTAAGACAAGTATTAAGTTCATTTTGTTAAGTACTTCTACTTGTTTTGGTAATAAAGACTGATATCTTTAAATTATTGCCCCAGGGAAACTAAGGGAATAAAAATCTTGAACTAGGAAGAAAAAATATAAAACAAATTGATTTTATATTGAAATACAGAAAATGGAAGCCCAGTAGAGGTACGGTTAGAACAGGTGTCTGTGTGGCTGTTGACATATTTTATTTTGCTCATATCCAACTATCTTTTTGGCTATCACTGATCATTTTGCTTTGTTCATTCAAAAGCAAGTACACATATGTGCTAGGTTGTGGTGATATGGCTTTAAGCAGGACAGACCTAGTCCTCACAGACTCGACAGTTTAATACACAATGATACACTAGAGTATGACCAGCATTACGATAGATAGTGAAAGTAGAGGGGATCGGGAAATCCTTGGCAGGAACCCAACCCAGTCTAGGGGGTTCCTGAGTGAGACACCTTTGAACAAGAGCTATTTTAAGCTGAAATTGAAAAAAAAAGAAATGGAAGTAGGTTAGCTATTTAGAAAAGATGCTGAACTGAAGTTCATGTTAAATTACTAAGTTCCTAGAAAATATAATTTCTTACTAAGTTTGATAACATTTTGATATTATATGACTTTAATGATAATTATTGTATTCAGCTATAAACACACTGGTCTGCGATAACCATATACTGGGTAGCCAAATTGCTGCTACCTGGGGGGAAAAAAGCTCCTGTCTGATCGTTTTTGCTTTCTTTTTCTTTCAGAATTTATCAGGGTATAATTTGTATACCATAAATGTCAAACTTTTAAAGTGTAAACTTCAGCGTTTGTTAGTATATTTACAAGATTGTGTGACCATCACCACCATCTAATCCCAGAGCATTGTTATCAGCCCAAAGAGAAACCACATACTCATTAGCAGTCACCTCCCCTCCCCCAATCCTTCCTTTAGAAATCACTACTCAAATTTCTGTCTCTATAGAATTGCCTATTCTAGGTATTTTATGTGAATGGAATCACATAATAGATGGTCTTTTGTGATTGACTTCTTTCACTTAGTATGATATTTTCAAGGTTCACCCATGTTACAGCATGTATGAGTACTTTATTCCTTTTTATGGCCGAATATCCCATTGTATGAATTTCCTACATTTTATTTATCCATTCATCAGTAGATATGTTTGAGTTGTTCATACTTTTTGCCTATTATGATTGGTGCTGCCATGAACTTTTGTTCACAGGTTTTTGTGTGAATATATGTTTTCATTTCTTTTGGTACATACCTAGGGAGTGGAATTGTTAAGTCCTATTGGTCTCCATGCTTTTTTCTGAGGTACTGTTTTCCATTTTGCATACCCTCCAGCAATGTTTTGCTTTCTTTCTATAGACCCCAGAGGAACTGGAGGATGTTTCTGACCTGGAAGAGGATCATGAGATCCGCAGTCACACCAGCATTCAGACCGAAGGAAAAACTGACCGGGTATGTTACCTCCCTGGGGGAGAGCTGTGTATTGTGTCCTCTCTTGGTCAATCCAGGCAGCCTCTCATAGGCGGGCCTCCTGGGTCTGGTGCTGGTTTTGCAAAGCACAAGGAGAAGAGCCTCCAAATGAAGGGGCCGCAGCATGAGGGGAATTATTTCTTCTACCTGGAGAGCTCACAGGGAGACCATTTCTGGTCAGGTAGTGAGTCACCCTATACCACTTTTGATTTTTATAGCAGCTAGGGGAATGTCAAAGTGAAATGCATACATGTTTGTTTAAAGTAGAAAAGAGAAACCAAGAAGTTGTAAATGTACTCTCAAGTTCTACGGGAATTTTTTGTTTCCCCCTGAGGCAATACACCTCTACTTTTCTTTCTTTCTGCAATGCCCTCTTTTGCCCCTAACCTCAACACACACACACACACACACACACACACACACACACACACACACACACACACACCATCTCCAAAGATGTTAATCGATATCTCAGTTACTCTGAGATACTTGATTCACTTTACCAGTGTGTAGGAATCTGTGGAAGTTTAGTTTCCTAGACACTGAGAGCTTGCAACTGCAGACTGGATTACAGAATTTAGGTTTAAAATCACAGTTCTCTAATGATCCAGTTCATTGGAATGTCCCTGGGTGACAGCCTCACCACCGTCCAGTGACAAAATAGGTATCTGACCATCAAATCTTCTGGGAGCAGCACCATGGCTAAGATAGCCTGGGAGCGCACCTGAACCAGCCACTTCCTTGCTGTGCTACTTGGGGAACTTACTTAGCCTTACTCTACCTCAGTTTTCTTATTTGTAAAGTGAGAATACTAATATTACTTTCTCTATAAGGATTATTGTGGGAATTAAATAACCTAATTAATAGAACACTTAATAAAACAGGGGCTAGCTCAGAACAAGTTCTTAATAATCAATCATTATTGTAGTAGTAGCAATAGTATAATTATCATAATTATCATTTAGTTAGTTAAGTTCAGCAACATAAAATTTGGAGATGGATGGAAAAGATACATTTAAAAACATTGCATGTTTTCAAATCTTCAGAACTGGCATATTTCAGTCATAACACTTTTATTAGAAATGTTGCTTTTCTTGAGTTTCGATCCTTGCTGGTTATTTGGGTTATTTATCAGTCCTCTAGAAGCCAGTTCCTGCTGGGAGTTCTAAGGGAACACATCATCTAGAGACAGTTTCCTTCCAATCTAGTTGGACTCCTCAGTAAGAGATCAAACCTTGCAAATGGTAATGGAATTAGAAATAAATTTTGCTAATGGTAAACTTGGCTCATGCTTTCAGTGAAGTGAGTGAGTGATTCACTTAGGTTGCTGCTGAGCGACTAGAAGTAGGTGTAGGTCTTCGAAGGAACTGATAGGAGGAAATTTTGTGAAAATAAAGGCAACTTTCAGGATGATGGGGTTCAGAGAAACATACCTTGGTTCTCATTCTAGTTTGTCACATGTAGACAATGAAGCCTTGGTTAAAACCCTTCAAACTTAGAAAGTTTAAATTTCTTTGTCTAAAAAATGAAGAGAATAATATCATACCTGCTCATAGCACCTTTGGTAACTTCAAAGAAGATAATGCGTATGAGAGTGTTTTATAAACTTTAAAATTATATGCTAAGAAGATAAGCTTCTTATTACTACTGTTTTTATTTGTATTTTTCTTCTTGGATGGGATTACATGCCACCTAGATGGCTGGCTGACCATGTAGGGTATGAAGTTGATGGTCCTGGATCTTAAGCATCTTTCATAGAAGCTACTGCTTCTAACCTTGTGGCAATCACCCTGAAACTGCTCTGAATTCTACATTTGTGTTCTACTGTGAACAGCTCCCTGATGATCCAGTTTATTTGAAATGCCCCTGGGTGACAGCCTCACCACTGTCTAGTGACAAGATAGATCCCTGACCGTCAAATTTACTGGGAAAAACATTATATTCAACCTGGCCCCTGTCTGCTTTCATAAATCTCCCCTGCATAAATTCCAAATAGCTTGACTTGTATTCACCACTTGCCTTGGGGCTTTCCTGCAATTGCTATGTGGAATCCCTCAGGGAGCTGCTCAGATATTATAATACACACACAGCCTTGTGTGAGGCCCTGAAACCCCACAGGGCAGCCCTTGACAAATACTCTACTATTGCTTGGATGGACCATTTCTAATTCCATTTTCCACAGGTTCTCAAGAATTTCTTGGGGACCATCAAGCCCCAATTCCTACAGCATTGACCAGCTTGATAATATATCTTGGATGGGTTTCCTTTCTTTTCTGATTTATTCTTCCCAGGCTTCCAATTCTATTCCCTAAGATCTGTTCCCAAAATAAACTACCTGCCATTCTTAGACTCTGCTCTTTTGGGGAAAACAACAAAAGATAGTCACTGAAAATGTATTATTCACTTAATTCTCACATTAACCCTGCTATATTGATATTATTATCCTAGTTTTACTAATAAGATTACTGAGTAAGTGGATTAATTCTTCAGGCTAAGAACATTGGTGGTTACCATATGTCAGTTTGCTTAGGTCATAGAGTTAGTACAATGAATCCTTTACTAAAAAACAAACATAACCATCATCACAACAAACCTGATATAGCATTTATGGAATGAAAGAGAACAGTATAAAGGATACCACAGTGGTCTAAGAAAGGGAGGAAGGGTACAAATTTAAATTTAAAGATTAATTATTGTAGGGTATGGACAATTTAACTCCAGTAGCATCCTTTTATTCAATATCTATCTTGTGATTTTATTACAATAGATTCTATTCTCATACCTGAAGTTTATAAAATGGCTGGCCAAGTAGGATAGCTTAGTATATCCCCATGCAAATCACCTGACCAGAGCCAAGATCATTTTTAGACCGGTTTTGTGATCCCACCCAGGAATCTTATATACCCAATAGTTTGATATTTCTTATAATTACATCTTTGTGCTTAAAGTATATCCATATGCTTAGTCTCATAGCTATTTGAAATTTTATGTCTATATTGTATGCAGCATTCTTGAAATCTCTGTTCATTGGACCAAGTGTACCTTTTTACACATTCCCCAGGTACAATCAATTTGAAAACATACCGTAATATTTTGAGGTGGAATCTGTTGAGAATTCTTTGAATATTTGTGGCATGACCAATACCATGAATTCCTGGTCACTGCATAAGACAAGCATTTGGGTTCCTTTCTGTTTGCTGCTATTGCTAAGGCTTTTTGGCTTTTATATTATGCAGGCTCTGCTATATCGAACATGCAGTAGAACCAATTTCAGGAACTATTTAGTAATAGAGTGACAGTTATTTATTATCATTTTACTTTCTGCATTTCACTCCCAGTAGCTTTGGCTCAACATCATCCGTTACTGCTGTCATCAGTGGAAAATGCCACTGGGCATTGTAAAGGTCTATAACCAACAAATAATGATTTAGAGTCCATGGTCAATGAGAGTGAAATAGTAAAAGACCAATAGTGCATGCCTTATGAAGTGGCAGAGGAACAGCAGTGGAAATTACTGATTGTCTTAATTATCAAACATGAATACTCACTGGACTGATACTGTGGTTATACCCAGTGATCAGACATTCCTCAGTGCTAGAATATAGGAGTGTGAGTTTGCTATAGGCTTAGAGAACATTCATCCTTATTTATTACGTTCATACTCTTAGCAAGTATAAGATAGATATCTTTTATCTTAAAACTTAAATTTGAAAGAGACATGAAAATAAAAGTCTATTTAAATAATCAAATTCCTAAACTTACTGATAACATTTTTTGGTATGTCCTAAAAGCTTCCTAAAAGATTATATTAAACACATGTTAAATCATATTTTCTACTTAAACAGAGAAGAGCCAGTTATCATTTAATACTTCATAGTTTATAGAATATTTCTAAATTTATGTCTTATTTGACCAAAGTCCTGGGGTTTATTTTTATTTTACTCATTAGGGAATTAGACTTTAAAAAAAAAAAAACCTCAGTAGTTTATGTAACTCATGTAGAATGAGACCAAGTCCCAGGTCTTCGACACTAGCCACACTTTTTCCAGTACAGCACACTTGTAAACTGGGGTAGAATCTCACCATCTCTTAAAGTCTCATTGCCCTATTCTTTTGCTACAGCCAGTATTATGGAGTTAATATTATAATTCCTATTGCAAAGATGACTCATAAGACGGAAGACCATAAACCTTAGTATCAGATCTGTTTAAGCCCCACAAATTTCTAAATGTCCTAATACTACAATCTTCCATTGATAACAAAGTTGGTTTGTTGATTGCCATTTGAAAACTTGATAGTAGTGCCCAGACCCTGACAGTCTCACTGGTGAATCACTTCGCCTTAATCAAGTGGAGTAACATAACAGGCAAGTAGAGTCATACAGCAGAGGGCCTTGTAGGACAGTAATCTGAAGTCTCCAAGCAAAGTCCAGAAGACACAGGCAGTTACTCTTCAGTCAGTCTCTTATCACATTGGCCTCTGTGATAGTTCATTACAAGTAGCATTTTAATTTCTAGAAATGTGTTCCTGTTTCATTGTCTGCAATGGGGGCAGCAGTAGTGATAGAGACTCAGGAAATTGCCAAAGTGACAGCAAGGTGGAAGTAAATGTATATGCCATAAGCCTAACTGGGGGATAACTATGGGTTTAGAAAGACTTTTAATAAAATGGATTGAAAGAGAGTTTTGTGAATTAAATAGGTGAGAAAGTCTCATCTTTTCTAGCCTTGCTGTATAATGTAGAAGTTAAGAGCGTGGACTTAGCAGTCACATAGGTATTGGTTCAAATGTATTGGGTTGTCAGAAAAGTCATGACATATTTTGTCTATGTTTTTCAAAGGTCATTTATTTATATAACAAAGATCAAGCAATGAAATATTGCCCGTTTTGTTCTATAACCTTTTGCCATCTTTCAGTGAGCTTCATAGTTCCTCGTTCATAGAAAGACCTGTCTTTATTTGCGAAAAACTGAATGAGGTGCTG